GCGCGTTGCAAACACGAAAACAGTAATGGTTTGGTAATGTTCCTTCTGCATTTCCAGCTTGGGGAAGGGTATATGGTCTAAAATTAAGCAAAACATTCATTACCCGAAAGAAAAACAAAGAATGTTCAAATGCATTTGTTGAAGTTGTTCTACGATTTCTATAGAATAGACTATTATTACGAAACAAAACCTGATGGAGATCAGAAACAGATATTCGGAAAGCAACCCGGCATAATCTGTTTTCTACTTATTCAGCATTCAGAATCAACACGTTCCAGCATGGTTGCTAGAGAAAATCAAACACCGCCCACATACACACTTGATTATGCACTTGCACCCGAAGCCCCTGCTTGTCTCCTAGCTTCTTCTCGCATTACCGCTTTTACATATATTTCATAGCAGCAGCCTGTATAAATATCACAAACACATGAGTACTGGGAAACTGGGAACACTGTAACAACTAACAAGTAAAACAAGACTCAAAAATGACCGACGAAAGGTACCATAATAAAAAGAAAAGTCACAATCAAAAGGAAGTCCATTATTGCCTTCTATCAAGAAATGTACTCAATCAAGTGTTTTCAACCTATCTTATACGCAGATATCAAACAGTTGGATCATAGAACACAGATTATTACTTAAAATATAAAACAGATTTCAACAGTTTAGAAAAGAAAAAGAAAAACTAATATCGTTCTCTAATCAGGTCTTAATGATCCTGATTGCTATTTTCCATTGTTTGTCATGCCGCTTTCACAGATGGAAAAAGTAATCATATTTTTCGCAATGAATATAAGAAACAACAGATTCTACCCATAGTTTGGAGGTGGATGTTGTTATAAGTCTATGAATGTGCATCTGTGAATACAAACACTCTTTGCAACCCTAGAAAGGGAAGCAGGAAAATGAATCCGTCTTGCTTGTGACTCATCCTTGAGGGGCATATTCTAAGCTTAAGCTATATGATGCTAAAACAACTGTAACCCCCAACCCTTCTTTCATCATAGCCTTACTGAGAACTTTACTAATCAGACAATAAGGTATCGTTTGGTATGCAGACGGGACGGGACGGGACGGAACGGAGAGGGAGCAAAGATGTCCTCAGATGGAAACAAGGAGGAGGAAGAAGGAGACGGAGAGGTTATAATTTTGTGTTCCACGGATGTAGAATGAGTCGTTCCAGGGGGTGAGGCGGAACGAAAAAAAGTGCACAAGGCTCCCGCTTTCCGCAGGGTCTGGGAGAGGTGAATGTCGGCTAGCCTTACCCCCATTTATGGAGAGACTGCTCCCAAGTCTCGAACCCGAGACCTACCGCTCATGGGCAAAGGCACCAAGCGATGGGCGCGTTCCACCCGTTAGGCGCACCAAACGTGGGACGAAACGTCTCGTCCCACTTCGTTCCGTCTCATCCCACGTACCAAACGGTATCTAAATGCAATCAAATCAATTGATCATATACTTTAAACAAGGAAAAGGAAAATAATCAAACACTAAACATTATAATAAAACGGTTCCATATTGAAGTTTTTCCTATTGAAAACTGAGTATCTGGTCTCTTCTCTATTTGCCATTTGGGTTTGTTGTGTGAGTCTCAATACGATGCCCTCTTCAAGTAAGTACTTACATATTCTTGTAAATATCATGTTGTTAATCTCATCTCTGAACGATCTACTAGTTTGATAGATTCTAACAGATTCGATATGTTGATTGACTATCACCACATCCCCAAAACTGTAACAAGATTACCTTAAAATTCTCAAAATGTACGGTAACTAGAACTAATTTACGAAAGCCAGAGGAGTGCGTAACAGCTACGTCTTACCAAAAGTATCTTAGTATCATGGTAAATTAAACTTGAGCATAGCAACTCATAACCATCTGATTAAATCTCAAGCAAAAGAATTGCGTACCAGCAATGACAACAATGGTAAGAACATCTCCAAGCCTTTTAACTCGCGACACGCCCTTCTTATGCGACTTGAACCGTTTTAAAGACGGGTCCGCTGCCAAGAGCTGCAATGTTAAACAACTTAGTCCAGCAAAAATGCACAACCCAACCCGTGAAATCAATCAAACAACACATTTACCCTGCTGCTAACAAACATCACAAACAAATAAACAAAAAAAATCTGCACAAATAAATCAAAAGCTAACATCTTTAAGCTGTTTGCTCAAATGGGTTTGCTACCCAGCTATCAAAAATGATAAAAATACAAAGTTTCAAGGACGAATCTCGAATACAAGATGAAATTATAAGCTTCGTCAAAATCCTGTACAGCTGAAAAGAAAATTAGAGAGAGAGAGAGAGAGAGAGAGAGAGAGAGAGAGACTCACCGCTTTCTCGCGGGGCCCTGGCTCGACGTGGAACTGGCGGCGCGATTGGGAAAGCGAATCGTTCTGCGCCCTCTGATTGTCGAAGTGAGAAAGTTAGATTTAGCGAGAGACGAAAAACTGAGCCAAATCAAAACGGCGGCGACGCAGATCAAACGTGAGAGAGAGAGAGAGAGAGAGAAACCTGCGAGTGGGATTGGAGATGGGAAGCAACGGAATTGCGGAGCAGGAACGCCATTGTTCAAGACCCGAGCTTGAAGTTGAAGCAGCAGCTATCAAAACCAAATATTTGCGTAAAGACTCGAGCTTTCGCTATCAGGCCGAATTTTGTGTATTATTTTTCTTTTGTACCCCCATATTTTTGCCATATCATTTAGTTTCCCACCATATATTTCTATTCCACCCCCATACTTTTGCCATAATATTATTTTAGAACTCGCCGTGTCATGTTTATGGATGAAGGATAGGCTGCCACGTATACATGGTAGTTACGAACCAGTGCAATCCAACCAAACTAACTTTGAACCTTTTGGTTCCAAAATCTCAATCCCAAGAGCTCTGGATTTGGTTACAGAAGGAGGAAGAAGAAGCAATGGCAATGAAGGCAGCTGCTTCCGCATGCAAAATTGGAGGGAGACAAAGAAACCCTTCTCTCTCATCAATTCCTCTCTCTCTCCAACAACTCAAAGTTCATCAGATTCATCGTCCCCAAAGTTTCATCTCAGCTCCTATTCACCAACCTGGTGAGTTAATTGATCCTCTTTACCAAACTCGAGGACACGAAACAGACAATAAGCTGCATGGTGCTCCATATTATCTGTTTAGCGTCTTACTAGTTATGCTATTGATTTAAGGTTTAAGGTTTGTGACCAGTTTTATTTGTGCGTATATTAATATTTTTTAACTTGTTTTATTGTTGGCAATCACAGTGTGACATGTGTGTATAAATTTTCATTATCTTTATTCGCTTGAGTTGTTTATGCATATGTGTCAAATTGTAATTCGTACTAAATTTTTAAGGAGCCGAACAATGTCTGAGGGTTATCGGGTTTAGTCTATTATTGTTGGTTGCTTTATATGATGCATATGTATGTATCTGTCTGTAGGGTTTAAGTCTTCAGCCAGGGCTATTAGCGGGGCAGCTGCAGACCCCATGACTCCAAAGAAAGAAAATGATCAAGAACAAACACCTCAGAATTGGAAGATTAAAATGCTCTTTGATGGGGATTGCCCTTTATGCATGCGAGAGGTCTATCCGTACCTTCAAACGTCTATCTGTATATTCCTGTTGTTATTTTGCTGATTTTAATGTAATTAGCGTTTGTTTGATGAGTTTCGTGAGAGTGAAGCTACGGATTCTTTTTGTTCTTGATGGATTCGGGTGTATTGAAGTTTTCGTTACAATGGCAGGTGGACATGCTGCGAGAGAGAAATAAGCGTTATGGTACTATCAAGTTTGTTGACATAAGTTCAGATGATTACTCCCCGGAGGAGAATCAGGGGCTGGACTACAAGACTGTAAGTTTGCATTGATGAAATTTGATACGAAGATGTACAAATCAATTTATATCAGTGAGAGTATTTCTTGTTTTGCATACCTAATATGACCTCGTAAAATAAGATCTCGGATTTCCTGAAGCTCATATGAAAAATCTAGCTTGAAAATTAGACATGTTTTGGAAAAAAGATATTAGAATTTAGAGACAAATTCTTGTGTTGGCTTTTTTTTAGGTTATGGGAAACATTCATGCCATCCTCTCTGATGGAACTGTAGTCACTGATGTCGAAGTAAGCCCCTTTTCGTGCCACGTTTGAACTCCCTATTTTGAGTTCAATTTTACTTTAAGCTGTCTAAAGAGATATTGACTAAGCTGATGAAAACTTCTGCAGGCATTCAGAAAGTTATACGAACAGGTGGGGCTCGGATGGGTATATGCCATAACTAAATACGAACCTGTGAGACTCCTCTTTCAATTCTTATGTTACCTGCATCGATATTCATCAATTTCCATCTTGTAAACTGAATGGTCTACAAAGTTCGTCTTGTTATATCTGGGGGACTAATGGGAATGCACTTTATTCACAGATCGCAACAATAGCAGGTGCTGTATATGGTGTTTGGGCTAAATATCGTCTTCAAATCACAGGTATGCTAATTTGTTAACACTGCTGCCTCATATATATTATGATTAATATGAACTTATGTTATATGATGCCGATATCCTGTTTTTGTTTTAGGCCGGCCACCTCTAGAAGAGGTTTTGGAGTTGCGAAAGAAGAACAAGGTCAGCACCGTTCGATCACTTGGATTTTATTTCTAGTACCGTTCAATGCCTCTAATTGAATCTGAATGGGACTTGAACGATTAGCTTATGTTAGACATCAAGCAAGTCTGCTGACAGTTTGAATTTCATACAAAAATGCTTAAGATTTTGAAATATTTGAACCCTTTGGTGCTAATACGCATCCCGTTATCTGTTTTCTGATGCAGGGAGAAGTATGTAAAGATTCAAAAGATTGTAAACTTCCAGAGTAACTGGCACCAGTCGGGATTTTTGAGATTTCGTGTTTGGTTTCCTCCATTGTCCTCCAAACTTTTGGCGCTATATAAGCCTATACCAAATACGGAGGTTTTTTTCTTCTTTTAGCTGACATCTAATACTGGTATATTATACAAAGGCAAGCATATGTATAGATTTCACACTCATACATTCTTTCATAGTTATATGTAAACAATGATGATGAATGTAAAACGTCGATAAGCTCAGTTTCTACCATGCTTGAGTTTATTGTTGCTTAATTAGCCTTCTTTCGGCATTGAAAGCTTGGCTACAAATTCATTGATGTTGTCATCTGAGTTTCCCCCTACACTAACAGATCTCTTTGCAGCCTCTCTCCATTTCAAGGCATTCCTTTTGATCTCCCCACTTCTCTCTCCTCCCATGACTTCCCTCACACACATCTCTATCTCATCCCTACTCACGATCCCCTCTTCATTTTTCTTAACTCTCACTCCAACCCCCCACAACTCCACGAATTTTGCATTAGTCGGCTGGTCACTCCACTGCGGCATCACCACCATCGGTACGCCTAGGCTCAGCCCTTCCAATGTCGAATTCCATCCTCCATGCGTCACGAAACAACCCACCGATCGGTGTCCTAGAACCTCCAGTTGGTTGCACCATGGCACAACCAATCCAGCTTGACCTACTGACTCCAAAAACTCATCTGGCAATTTTCCCTCAGGACCTTTCACGACCCACAGGAAATTCAGACCACTTGCTTTCAATCCCCAAGCAATTTCTTCAACCTGTTTAGCTGCAATCTCTGCCATGCTTCCAAATGAGACATAAACCACACTTTTAAGTGCTTTTTCCTCCAGCCATTTCATGCACTGGTCTGCTTTTGGCTCCCAGAGACTTGCTCCATAAGCTATGTCTCCTTCCATTTGTTGATCCAGGTAGGCTGATGGCACCATGGGCCCCACCATCACCAGGGGCCATAGACCCAGCATTTCATCCAACAGCTTTTCAACAAACATATTAATTAATAAAATGAAATAAGAACAATTAATTAGAAATTTGCAATTGCTTCATAAATTGGAAAAGTAAAACACTGATGATTTTGATCCTTGGCTCTTTTGTCAATCGTACCAAACTCACTTGAATGTTATATCCTCATCTAAGCAATAATACTCAACTTCTGTGATATACAGGGAATTTCACAAACGCAAAACTGGAAGGACACAAAACAAAACAACCAGATGCACTAAACCTTGGTTTATATACGGATTTATTGTTGGGTAGTGATCGAACTTCCCTATTATTTCCATGCTTTCCTCCCTCTGGCTTTTGAACTGAATAAATCAAAGGGAAGAAATGCAGAAGGAGAAAACGACAGTGTAAAAAGCACTGCCACCAGTTCTATAAAAACTTTGTTATCGTTACTATTTGTGCATATTTCTTCATAAATATTCAGTTTCCACCAGTCTGATTCTTCTTTATTTTTTTTTTCTTTATTTTGAAAGGAAAAAAAATTACTTTTAGCTAAATAATATCAAGATCTGGGAGAAAATTAACACAATTACCTCAGTTTCCAACTCTTGGAAAGAATTACAGAAGACCCAATCATTTTCCTCCAGCTTGCTAAACTTCTCCAAGATCACAGCCAAATAAGGAGAGTGAGTCTCACTCTCAGGCTGTGAAAGAAAACTTGGCAGCTCAGAAGGAGCAAGTGGGGGAAGGCCAGGCATCTTCACCAAACCCCGATCATCATCAGTTTCTTGCAACATAAGCAACGACTGACGGCGATTTACGACACGCCAGAACATGGAGCAGACAGAAGCTGAGACGGTTAAAAATACAGCTCCGTAGATTTTAAACTCTTTGGCCACATCAAGTGCCCATGGAAACAGTGAATCATACACAATACAACTGACAGGTGGTGAGCCTGCTGAGGCATTGAGCTTCAGTATAAGCTCTGCTAGGGTTTTCGAGCCAACCGTTTTGAATGAGTCTAGGTAGGCTGCTAGGCTTGGTGCTTGGTTGAATCCGCTTTGATTGTAGCCGTCGGAGATGGGTTCGATTCGTACGGTGGGTGCGTAGATGGATTTGATGGTGTAAGGGGTGGTGGCTAGGGTGGTTTTTAGGCCTTTGGAGGCTAAGCGTTTGGCAAATTGGAGGAGTGGGTTTATGTGGCCTTGAGCTGGATATGCGACCACAATTACTTGCCCTTTTTGGTTCTCCATTTTTTGTGTTTGGTTTTGGTGGTCAATAGAGGAAATATTTATAGGTAAAGTTTGAGGTTTATTTACCAAGTTTCCATGGAAAATGGTGGCTGAGAGTTGGAAAAACGGCTCCCCAGTTGAAATTATTGGGCAATGAGTTGACTGCAATAGCGTGTTAAAGACTGTTAGTTGCTCCTGTTGTTTGGGAACCGGATCCTCTCCGGATCCCCAAAAATTGAGCAACCTGAGAAATCAATCAGGGCCGTTGAAATTTAATCTAACGGTTATAATTATTATAATTTTTAAAGGGGCTCCCTGTTTGTAGCCGTTGGATTAATTTTCAACGGCCCAGGGTCATTGCTCAGGCTGCTCAGTTTTTGAGGATCCGGAGAGGATCCGGTTCCTGTTGTTTGCACTGTAGTCATTATGATTCTTTGATGTCACTTCGTTTATTAGAACGTGGGTATTGTAATTATTTTGATTTCGGACATTCTATGTGTTCGTGGGATCAACAATAGCGCAAGTTCCACGTTAAATTCCGTAATCAAATACATGAAGATAATTAGGAATCAAATCAAATAGGAGAAGCTATGGTTAATCCCAATCCGTTGTTTTTATTCCTGACACGATTCATGACTTCCCTCGCTTCAGGCAAGTAAAGATGAATGTCAGATTACTTTGCACCGATTTGGGGTTTGCTTCCGCTTATGTAAGAAGCACTTCAACGCTTCTATTAGAAGCACATTTCAGAATCTAGAAGCCCTTTTTTCCACCCAACACTGTAAAAAAGCTAGGAAAGGATACCTTTATTTAACAAACCTACATAGTTACAAGCTAACAACTTGATTGAGAGTTTATTTCTCTGGCCACTCAGAACTAAGAAACTAGTAAAAAAAACTACCAGATATATTTACATCTAACAAAACCTCCAAGAGATCCCACTCTACCTGCACACGTAAGTACTATACGGGCAGCCCTAAACGGTATTTGCAACTGTAACCAAACAATCATTTCACACTTGATTACTAGTATCTCTGTATATCTTGAACTCTTCGTTTCGAAGCCACGCTCCTCATTATTGAGAACCACTTCAGCACACTGAATAGCTTTGTCCATCTCCTGTGAGCCTTATCAGATATGGCAACAGCTGAACACGGCAAAAAGTGATCTACAGTGCTATGTAGATATTGTGATTCTGAACTCATGTTGTGGGACTCTAGATTAGCATCGGAAAACTGCAGATGATCCTCAACAAATAAAGCATGAGCCATGGGGTCGGTGTCAAAGATCATGGAGTTGGTGACTTGACCTGGGAAACTCAGAGTCTGGTCGTATCTAAGACCGAAGCCGTCAATGTTGTGCAAGGCATAATCATCCAAGCCACTGGTGCTACCCACCGAATAGATGGATGGGATGATATCTGGAGAAGAGGCAGATGGCTGTGCATAATCAAATCCACCAATCTTTTGAGAAGCCAAAAACTTGCTTCCGCCAAGATCCTCTGCCCTTGGTGAGCTCGATGTGTGAAGAACATTAGTGAAGTTGGAAGATGCAGCTATAAGAGAGGCTTCATCTTCAAACGGGACTACTTCTTCCCAGTGTTCAAATGCAGAAATGACCAGGTGGTAGCCATCAGCCTAAAAACAATATTTGACCATAAGAAATTAGACATGACTTAAGAAAATACAACAGAAAAAAGATAAAAGCGAGTGGACTGAGGTGATAGGTAGCGTGCCTTTTGTGTTTCAGACAGCTTACTAACAGAAACATATTCATGTTCCAACAGAAGTCCCATCACTTGCCCTACAATGTTGAAGGCGACACCAGTTTCCTGTGAACTGGGAGGGTAGTACAAGTACACCCTCTTATCGAGTGTACATCTCTGAGCATGCTCCACAGTGACTTCCCACATCTTAGCAGACATACCCGTCCCAAGGATCTGCAATTTTCCACCCAAAAAAATAAAAAAATATCATAACCACTAGGATACTTGGGTTGGGTTGAACAAGGCTGCTCAAACTAGTACATTTTCCCTTTTTATGAAACATTTAAATGCGCAAGATGATATGTAATCTTCAAAATAAAGTATTAATCATTGGAAAAGGTAATTTCACCAAGATAAGAAAATTCAGTAATTACATTCCGGAGCCTTGAAGGGTTTATGAAGAGTTGGATGAGAAAATCATTCACAGTGTTGATGCTTTCCCGACTCAACCGCTTATGGAAAGCTCCGTCCTTGCCAATCTTTTCTAGTCTCCATACTTCATCAAGCAGAGATGGAGGGTGGTGTTTCTTGTACACTGCAGAACCAGAAGTAGGTCAGGTTATAATATTGTACGTTTCCTTAAGTTAGCTGATCCTAATTTGAAGGCCATCAGCCATGCATGATAATCTCAAATGAAAATATATGGAGTTAACTACATCCAATATAAGGAGATATTATGAAAAGATATGGTTAATTTTTACAATGAAATTTTTTGTTTAACTATATGGCCAGTCTGATCATAAATGAATACAGTTAAGAGAGCACAACCCCGACAATGGAAAGGTGAAAGAACACTCGATCTTAGTATCAATACTCTAGCAATAACCTTAGAGACAATTTATTTAAAAATATACCAAATAAGAAGCACTCACATTCTCCCCGATGATCCCTGACAATAAAGGATTCTGTCCTTGCTTCTCTTATTCTAGTTCCATCGAAGTTATCTGAAACTCTTGCTCCTAGCCTAAACTTACGGCTCCTTGTCCAGCTTGAATTATCAGTAAAAGAAATCTCACCCACAAGTGCAACTCCGTCTTTAAGATTCAAAACTGCCTCTCCTGTAAGAAGAGGTTTCTTTCCATCCCTCTCTCTCACAATGTTATTCTTGAAATCTTCAAGTGTCCAATTATCACCCTCCTCACCGTCAAAATCACCCTCAAGAACAACTAATTCCACCTTGGCTGTGGATTCAGGCCCGGATTTGACAATATGTCCACTAAAGCAATCAACCAAAGCTACTTGTACAGTGGAGCATTCTTCTCCTTCAATCCGAGCTCCAGTAAATACTGGAAGAGAGATGTTATTTAAGAACTGTAGCTTTAAGATTCTTGATTCAGAAGGATCCGTCTCTTTCCCACAATTCCTAAATAGAAAGGTAAAACATAAATCAACTGTTGTATGGCAAGAGTGAAACTACGGATTTGACCCTAAATTGCTACATCTCAAAGCTTTAGAGCATCATCTTACTGTTTCATACTCGCCAAATGCTTTCTTAGGGCCTCCTCAACTTCTTCTTTAACCTGAAAATATATAACAATCAATTAAAGCTGCAGCACCATAAAACTAAAAGGATGCATCCAATATGCATGCATGTATTGAACTGCAAAGTGAAAATCAATTACCATATTATGATTTGCAGGGACATAAACTTAAAGAAAATAAATAAAACCCTCCAAGGTATACTTGAGGCCTAAGAAACTTCAGAGAGTGAATGTGAAACCATTTTATCTTGACATCGAACACGCAAAATTTTGAGAATGAGGACACTAGCTGAAGGGGTCATAGACTATTGTACGCAAGGCGAACTACATGCTATTAAAAACGCCCATCTATGATCATAAAAGTTGTTCCTAGAAAAGGTTATGGTTCGAGAATACCCAATTTGGTCATCCCCCATATGAGAGAAGCTAAAGTGATAATGAAAGGGCTCCCTGGACCCATTATGATGACGCATCCTAAGTTCTAGGTCTAACTGGCAACTCGTGGCTAGGTAACATTGACAAATTGAAATTTTATGGTAAAACGACTCCTTGGAAAGAAGAGTGCAGCCCTCACTTGGCGGAAAGGGGACCTGGTGTCAGGCTAGAGCAAATGCGACCACAAAGTGGGCTGCCATGCACTGATGCACGTTAGCTGCACCCTGCAAAGCATGGTGGTGTTTTACACTTTCCAAGCTAACAATGGCTCAATTCAGTTTTAGTGCTTTTAGCACAGTCGTGTACTTATGAAGTTTATAAATCATATACAACCCCTTCAAATATACAATACAGTTTTACAATTACACAGTAGAGCAAGAACACCTACAAGATTCGAGCTCAATGGTAGAAATTACACAGATGCTAAATCCAAAATAAAAGGAAAATAGAATGGGAAAACACTTACAACTTTACGAATCAAACGCTCTAGAAGTGGCTCCAGTAAATGCTGGACTTTGTGCAATCTCATCGTTTCCAGAACCACGCTGAAAACCAGTAATGAAGGCATTAGAAAGAAACCAGATGTGAAAATTATCATACTTTGTTTTGGTATCAAATTTTTATTAAGAAAGGCGGATTCATTTCAACTTGTGATTGAACTGAACAATCAATTATGTCTTCCAGACAGTTATATCAAAAGTTAATTAGCTTATCTTTTACTTATAAACACCTATATCAATTTCCATTATCTTAAGCCAAATGCACTCGCATTTCACAAATAAAGCACCTTCATTTACTAAACTAAGCTTAGAAATTCTCAAAACCACAAAGTTCATTTCTTACAATGAAGATACACAAATCATTTTCCGACATGAATTCTCGACGCCAGTTCCCTGTCCATCCATCCTTCCAATCCAACATAAGAATCTCAATCAAATTTCCACTCAACAAAACTCAATTCACCCGTAGTCGAGAATCCCATTTTTCCTAGAAAGGAAGAAAACTAAACACCACTTTCACAAGCCAAAACCCAATTCATATTTTATCCAATATTTCCACTATGTAACAATAACCCAATTACAAAGCAAAAATAAATATCCCAAACAAGATACAAAGACTCAAACTTTTTCAATAACACACATGGGTTGGATAACATTCATCAGACACTTCCACAATCCAAACAAAACCCAGTTCGTATTTTATCACAAATAAGATTTACAGACTCAAACCTCTGGAAACTGGTCTTCCTACGCTTGTCATCCGGACTACTAGTCCCATCCGAACGACCCTTGCCTTCATCCTGCTGCCTCTTCTGCGACATTATCGAAACCCAGCAACACCCAGCTCACCAGCAACAAGCACTGAGAAGCACTGGCTGTGCCACTACACAAACATGAAGAACAACAGCCAAAAGCACCAGCATTCGACAAGCAGGCAATAGAATTAGTATTATTGATCCACAGATACAAATAATAACAGAAAAATAGAAGGGCTTAAATAACAATAATAAATGGGGTAATAAATGAGAAAAATCCAAATCTTGGTAGTACAAGTACTGTTTGCAGAGGGCGAGTAGCTATCCGTTTTCAGAATTTGGTTGTGTCCGGGATGATCCTTCGTCGACCCGAAAAACCATCTCTCTTCTTTCGGCTTCTTCCTTCAGTGTCACGCAGAGGTGGACAACATACTCGCACAGGTGCACAGGGAGAAGAGAGAGCGTTAAGATAGGTGATGTGATGAGGATGCCGTGTGGGGCCCGCAAAAGCGCGTTTAAACGACTGGTAAAAGTGGGGTCCGGGTGGCCAAATGGACGTCGTTTTTGATAATTTGTTTGCTCAACTGAAAATAGAGCGACGCATCAGCTCATGCGTCCACTGGGTTGGTCCTTGTGGACATTTCAACCTTAAATAAAAATAATAATATCACTCATTACTACTCATTACTATTGTCTGATAATATTTATTTTTACTTAGAAATGATAGGTCTTAAGTTTGAGTATCGTGAATAGCGAATTCAATACCAAATTAGACTGACTAGACTTAACCGAACGCTCTCTCCACTTGTGTAACAATATCAATATACTAAAAAATAATAATAATAATAATAATAACATCTTAGATAAATACTAACAAAGAATTGAAAACTTTGTAACGGTTCAATAGCCAGCAAACGAAAATCCTCAAAATATTCGAGGATTTTCTACCACATACTACAGGAGATTGGATCTAGCTGTAAAAAGAATGTTTGGCTAATAAATAATTAACATTTTAGTCTTTGAACCCATCAACTGATACGAAAATAATTTTCTCACAAACATTGATTGGGGGTGTATTAGCAGAATTGAACCAAAATTTCTCTTTTTTATCATTAATTGAATCATTGTTCCAGATCGAGTCTGCCATATGTCCTAGTATTTAGTATAGCCACTTAACAAGTAACGAGATTTGTGCACAAGTTTCGTAGGTACCAACTGAAAATTCGTAATTTTCAACATTATTGTCATTTATAGAGGGGAATTTCACGAATTTAGGAGGAATTCCCAAGCTAAGAGGAGATTAAAGTGTTGAATGATGATTACTGAAGACGTTTTGAGTTAATTGAGTGGTGATTTTAGTGAGTATATGAATGTTTAAAAATATATGTGAATAGTGTGCTTCTAATAAATTGGTATGATAAGTGACGGATTGCCTTGATAGTTAGGGTTTTTCTCATCAACTCATTACGTTTCAAATTTAAAACTCTCATCTCTTTAGTATAGATTAGTGTAGAATACTACTTGTAATAATATAGAATAATAGAATTGGAATAGCAGCGAAACCTTGTTATCTTAAAAGTATGTACAAAGTATTTATCCGAACGGATCCCCATTTTTTTTGTAGAAGAATAGTTGTGGGGCCCATTACACATCGAACTTAAACAAATCGAACATTCTATTTTTTGAGTCCTCATTCATAGTCATCCTTGCAAAAAAATCAATTTAATCCGAAACCACTTACTTGATTGTCATGATGAAATTTCAATGTTTTTTAGAACATAATGTTCATCAATTTCTTTTAACTCAATTAGATGCCTCAAACATTTTCGATTTGACTAATATTTTACAAGAATGGTCTATAAAGTACAACTTAAAACATAAACAATTTGAATCATTCAAGTTTAATCTGAGACCAAACTAATCCCAATTTTTAAAAATAAGAATTTTTTGAATAAGTGAGTAAAAGTATGGTACACGCTGAAAATTAAGGAAAAACCTAGTCTCATTTTTTAAGAAACATGAAGTCTTTCTTTATCTTGTTATAAAATGTCAAGCTGACGCAGAACCTTATTATATTTCTAAACTGGAGCATAACCACAGAAATAATCGACCTTGTTTTTATAGCAAACCTAACAAAAATTCCCAACAAGCAACAACCCAAATAATGGATTATACTGATCCGATATGGTTTGATAAGGTTCCACGTGGAAAATAAAACACAATGATTGGTGTATGAATTGAGTTCGTGGCAGTTTTGGGCATGTGACATAGGTGTCCTTGCGTAGGACCTCTAATCTTAAAAGATTCTTAAAAATCATATCATCTATATACATACCAACTTGGTTTGTGGTGCAAAAACTTCATCTTTGAAAATTTTATGGGTTTGCTTATGAATAAGAGAAATACGGTCTTCATATGCATAAGAAAAATTACTTTTATGTTTTTAGTTTGATTATGACGACTTTGGTCTAAAGTTCGTTTGTATTTCTTTTGTTTATTAGTTTTGTTGATTTGAACTATAACATAAGTAATATTAATACGTTAATTTTTTTTATTAATACGTTATTTAGACCGTGTTCATTCGTTTAGATGTTCTTAATTAATATGCTATTTAGATTCTATAGGCATATAAATTAGCTTTCTAGCAGCAGTCTTTCTACACAGGCTCATTTACTATTTTCTGCATAGAACATCTAAAATCTCAAAGTTGACCTTGAAATGAATTCAATGAAGTTTGTTAATAATTTTACATAGTGTAGGTTATATTGCTTATAAGCTTAAAACTACATACTAAAGAAAAGAATAAAAAAAATTTCCCTCCACATATTTTAGATATCTTCCACATTTGTCACGTGAACAACTTTGTCATTTCAATAGATAAGGCAACTAGTTACGTATATATCTAGTAAACAACACTTTATACGATACTTTTACCTTCCAAGAAGGCAACGTTTGCCCTCGCAAGATGAGAAATTCTAGTACGTTTGCACGTATCTGGCAGCTCTCTCACAAAGGGTTCTGAAGATCCCACATCCCTTGTGACTTTTGAGAGGGCATGTGCATTGGCAACCTGCGTACAAGACTTTTTCTTCTTCGGATTCATTGAGGTATAAACTACCTTACATATCATCTGATCCCCAAGTTCAGAATTTTTTTATGAAAGAGCTGGCTTCTGCCCTTTGAAATTTAAGATGTTCTTAAAATATGTCATCTAACTGCTTAAATGAATTGCCTTTATGGACACTACTAGGTAAGATAGCTACTAGCCTTATGTCTTTGTATGCTTTGCTATGGGCATCTATCGATAGGCTCACTCGATATATGTTGACATCTGTCGGCATGCTCGCTCAAAAGCTATTGACATCAAGTAGTCGACATGCTTATTCAAAAGCTATTGGCATCAGTTGACATGCTCACTCGGAAGCTGTTGGCATTTGTTGACAAGCTTGCAATATAACTTGACAAATGACTTTAGGCTTACCAAGTCTCGATGAAATGCCAATTTGCATGCTATTACATCCAAAAAAATTTGTGCATTGCACTCGGTATTTTTACTGACCTTCCCAATAATATTTCCTAGACCCGCAAGTGCATATTACTCCATCTATTACAACGGTAAAATGCTAGGTTACACTTGATCTAAATATTCGTCAACCATCTCAAGTCAATAACAATACAACGTCACGAAAACGGAATAAATCTTCTTCTATCCCTTGGGAATAATACACCATCATTGTCTTCTATCTAGACAAATTTCATAAACTGGATTTTAACAAAATTCTCCTAAAGGGGAATAAGAGAAATGCTAACAAAATCCTCCTAAAGGACTAACAAAATTCTCATAAATTGGATTTTAACGAAAGTCTCCTTCTCCTAAAGCAGACTCGGAGACTCTCTATAGACTCTCCGACACCTCAAGATTTTTGCATACTATTTTATAATGTAAGCACGAAAATTGTACCACAAAAATAAAGTAACAAAAAATCCATAAAAAAATCTTATTTTTCAGAAAATCTTCTTAGTATTTATCAGAACATAATAATATCTCTCTTCTTTTTTTCAACAATAATATCACCCTTGTGAATAATAACGTTGTAAGAAACAAGAAGTACGCCATGCATGCATGTCAGAAATGTTGAAAATGTCAATCACAAGATACTCCATCAGTCCATCCCACTTCCGCGAATCTTCCTACTCTGTACTTTTAGTACAGTCCCAAACCCAAACCCTAGATTTGTGCTTGTCCTTTTACCACAACTAGAAAACGATTCTGAAATACCGAAAATGCCCTTCACACAGTGGACTTGTGAAATTTTAGGAGACGACGTTGGTTATTACCCAGAGTCTTTGTTTTTTCACGTTGGTAATGAGAACAAAAACAGCAAGATGCCCGTTGCCGGGAAATCTTACTTTTAACTTTTTGTGAAAAAAAAGGATGCTATTTACAAAGATACTTATCTAACGGCTGTTAATTATAAATCGCCGTGTTTAAATATTGTATTCATTGCAATCACAGATAGTTTATATATATTTATGTGAGTCGAATATGAATTTTTTATTTACTTAAATTGAGGGTGGATGTCGTCAACAGTGTTTGAAATTCTTTGATATGATCGATATTTTTCCATGAAAATATAAAAAAAATCAGAAATATATGGAATGGAGGGGGTGATGTTTGAACTTCACGAGATATTATAAAAACTCTTAATTCGGCTAAAATCAATATATTTCGTCAATATTTTCGATATACTGATTCAATATCAACAAACTGTAATATGACATTAAGTTTCATTTTAAATGACTATTTTTTAACAAATTTTTATAATTCCAACCGTTATCGATATAAATATAACATCGATATTTTTACAAATTTATATATCAATATTTTTGCATATACCGATATTTTAAACCCTAGTCGTCAAGAAGCGATGCGCTATTGTTCTTTAAAAATGTTAGTCAAGTGATTGCAACCTTTTACCCGTGAGCACATGAATAAAATTAAGATATCTTCAATGTAAATAATAAAGAGAACTTTAACGAAAAGCACCCGGTACTGTTCATTTTAACGAAAAACCATATTTTTACACTAAAAAGTCAATCCTGGTACTATTCACTTTACCATTTATTTTGTTCTTATCATTAAAACTTAAAATTTTTAAACCATTTTCATTAGTTTTCCTAATAATAAATAGAGATTAAATGTCGTTAAATCAACCGACCTTTTAACCGGCACCGAACACATGTTAGGTAATTGTTTGCGTGTTGAACTGTTTCAGTGGCCCCGTGTCTTTCTTCTTTAGGGATGAAAAATAGGGCCCATTTCTTTCGTCGTAGCTTTCACGGGACCAGTGGGCCTGTGTCCCTGACGTGGGTCACGTGAGTGGTTAAGAGATTCTCGAGCTTGCCACTTTTCCACTTGATGAGGGGTTTGATTGGTTGTGATTTTGTTAACAGTCGTTGGATGGGAGAAATTTTTAATTACGACGGAAACTCAAATATTACATCACTTGTTTTAATAGGAGTAGTGAGAATATTATTTTTTAAGTTATTAATTTTTTAGCAAACTTGTTTCACTATTTATATAATGATACGTGATGTACTATTTCGTGTATCGGTTACGTTGAAAAATCTCTCCTTAGATGGAAACCGGAGGAAAAATCATGAAGGCGAGTCAGTGGACCCCGCAGGCGAGAAACCACGCGCTATTGTGATATGATTGATCGTACCCTTTATTAAGGCTTTAGGGATATCGAGATAAAAAGAAGTGGGGGTTAACACCATGATAGTGAGTTAACGATAATACGGTGATGCTATTTAGACGCATAAATTGACAAGTTTATTTATACATTTTTTCATATAAATGAAACTTACATATAAAATAAAACGCAATTGTGTTATAAAGCGTGCTAATAAATATGCCAATTTTATGTATTATAATAATTTCGAAAGCTTTAGCACGATAGTATCTTTTAGGTCAGGTTGGGTTTTTGGCCAAGTCTTCACTATTATTTAGTTGATCATTTTGTCCTTTTGTTTTGTTTTATCATGTCAAGATTTCAGGCAGGAGGAGTATAAAAACAGATCGAGGGATTCCATAAAAGCATTATGAATCGTCTATTTACTTGGTACAATTGATTGACTAAGCAATTTTATTTATAATTTATTTTTTGTAAAATTAATTATTTTTATAAAGTGATTTATAATATGAACGGGTTCAATTATAAATACTAAGTTCTATAAACACCGTGAAGTATTTTGAAAAAAAACTCCTCCTTAGCCTTAAGAAATCAAGCGCTTCTCTCACCTTTTTAAGATGATACTTTTGTTCTTGACTTTCACGTTTGAGTTTTGGATGAACGCTTTGGCAATACGTTGTATGGATCTTATTTATCCTGAATAAAAGTATATTTCCCAACTAAAAAACTTCATCACCCAAAAATTTGGTACATTGCTCTGAGAATCTGAAGGGTAACTCAATTGCATAATCTGCTATTCACTTCTAAATCATGTATTCCTATCCTCTCTCCCCTTTCTCATAGTGTGTTCCTATGCTCTGATATTCCAGTTACAGAAATTACGTTTATTGTTTGTCACCGAAAACAACTCCGGTTTCTTCCATGGAATCATATGAACAACCATAGCCCGCAGTAGCCAGCGATGCTACACGATCTTCGTCTACAATTAGTTGAGTCAACTCCACATTCATCGTCTGTTAGACACCTGTGATCACTACGAGCATCTGGGACGTGGCAAGCACTCTCAGCTTGTTGGCCGCCGCATTCCCACGAATTCATCGTCGTAGGACATACTTGCATAGACATTGCACTTGTCCGTCGTGCTTGATTTCCGGCCTGCACAAATGAAATTACAACTCGTGTAAGGACATAAAGAACAAGAACGCATCTTGTTTCTGTTTGCTCAAAGGAAAACTACTATGCATGCAGTTGAGTAGAAGCAACACCTTGAGAGAAGTCCGGTTACTATGGATGTAAGTCTCAGGAAGCCTGTCATGCCAACTACTCAACACTGGAAGGGGGTGACCCTCGGTTGTGAAAATATAGTTTTGTTCAACCAAAAATGAATCGTCGAACAAAAGAAATAGATACTTGCACCTACAAAAAAACAAAAGACATCAGTTCAGATACATGTTAGCGCAATAATTTACGCGTGATTGTTTTCTCTGTATTTGCATAGTGCAAGGGAAAAACAACTCTTACGTCTCAGCAAGGAAGAAACTATGCTGATGATCTTCCAACTGCATAGTTGTGACATCTCTAATGCTAGCAAAACCTCCTTCCACTTTTGTGTATAAGTTCAGAGAATTTACAATTGACTCCCCCACTTCAATGTACCATGGGTCTGATAACACAGAAACAAACATGGGCGAAAAATCAGAAAAATAGGACCGGCTACAATCGCGATACAGGATTTTTTTTTTTGTTTCTTATATTATCTTGAATAAAAGAAATTTCATCTTAGGGCACTGAGATGTCTGAATGCTTACAAAATATCGCCTGAACTTTTAGAACCATGTGAAAAATGAAAACTAATAAAGACAATCAAACCTTTAGTTGCTTGATACAAGTAGAACGTTGACTCAGCCAATTCAGGGCGCAGAGGATAATACTTTTCTGTGGGATGCAACATTTGATGGTCCAACAAATACCTACATTATTTTACAGTTCATATTAGACAGTTTTTTGTCCCTTATGAGAAATACTGCAGTAATAGGAACCAACCATAAAAAGCTAAGAAGTCCATATGTAGAATGTAAGAGTACAGACTCATAAGAAAACGGTTTCAAAAGCACCTTTCTGGTATTACTCCAAACTTTTCCCATACATGGAAAAATTCACGGTGTGAAGAATTTGCGGCTGCAATATCGCCAACAAGAACCTATAAACAAAGTTCATATCTAAAGATTAGAAGACTTTCTGAGGTTTGGAGTTATTATAGTAGTAGTATGACAAAGTTTAAGATTCCCAGCCTGTAGGCCAGGCCAAAATGCCTGAAGGCTAGTAAGCTGCCAATAAGTTGCTTTTCCTGTCCTCATATCAGCTTCATGGTACCTAATTACAGTAACATGCTTTATCAAAATAACTTTGCAGCCTACTCGTCTCAATTTAAACTTACAGCTAGAATCCAAACTTTCAACACTTGAAAAGTACCAATAATAATTTGAAATAAGGCATTCAATAAGGCTAGGAGGAAGTGCTGTACCATGGACCATGTCTGAAATATTTCTGCACAGCAATATAAGCAGAATGAAACATTCTCCAGAACTCCTCCTTTCCGAAAAGTATGTGGGCCTTAAATAGATACTCATAAAATGAATCAACCCCTAAATGAAGAAACATAGAATCCAACATCAGAAACTAAAAGTCTACACGCTCAAGATGCATCAAGGGAATGGTTTCTGATGGCCTGGAGCCCATCACACAAGGAAATATTGGCACGTGTACGATTTGGGAAACCCAATAAACTACGTAACAAAACATATAATGTAGTACATTAAAGACCCCAAAGCCCTGACCAAACCTACCAGCTCCAATCCCAGATGAGTACTCAAGCCATTCCCCAGTTGATACATCCAGCGTTGTACCAAGTAGATTCAAGGAACTACGCATGCCCCATAATTTACGAAGAGCACGTAAAGCTGCAGATTCGTATTTGGGGTCTCCAGTCAATCGGGACAATGCTCCCATTTCCAGAATTAGGGAACCTGAATTCATACAGAAAATCAGGAGATTCAGGAACGTCACATTTATTGGTGTCCTCATCTGAATACAGGAAAAGAAAGCCCCTCACCACATCCTGAAGTGCTTGTTTCAGTAGTCTCATTCTCCATCACTCCATACTGTCCACAGAATTTCGCATTGATGCAGAGTCATATATCCTTCTTACAAACAAAACCACCAAAACATTTTCATATATTTTGAAAATTGAAAGGTGAAGTCTTGAAATTTTTTGCAAGTCACAGGTGCACCCAACTATATGTTTAGACTGACAATAATGATATAGAAAGAATCATATCATGCTTACGTCCCAAAAATCACAATGTAATCAAATATTGGAGCTCAGCATGTCACAGGTAGTACCTTTAAGTTAATCCATGCATACGGCAACCCCGTCGGCGTGTTAAATGCAGGTAGGAAGCGTTTCCCTAAGTCCTCGGCCAAAGTAAGCAGCTGATTCTTGTAAACTCCTTGACCCAGCCTGTTTGAAGAATCACTTGCAAGTAAATGAGCAGAAACAAGTCCTCCAAGCACTCTTATGTTGCACTACAAAATAGCAATCAAGTGGAAAAGAGAACCAATTAAATACATAAAGAACAAAACTAGACGACAATATATTGCTCTTGAATAACATTCAAAATAATATCTAAATCCAGAAACTGCATCCCATTTTGAACAATCTAAAAGGTATGACAATAATAAAGTTCTAGAATCAGCATAACTGAACTAAATTAAGCTTTTCCACAAGCTATTCAATATATACCTCAAAAAGATTTACCCTCACATCAACATTGAACTTCAAATTGTCAGCAAGCCAAATAATTGCGCTTTCAAATTCAGTGTTGTTTCCCATAATGACAAGGCTGCGAGACAATTTTACATCAGAGTGACAACAAAATTATATGAATCATTATGAAGAAAGTACCAGAGTTCAGCATAATATTGCAAAAACTGAAGGCATATAAATTCAGATTATAGAAGAGTATCTATGACATAATCGGTTCATGTCAAACCTGGACAATGATTCTATAAGACTCAGAGCCGATCCACTGTAGCCTTGTGGTAGGTGTTCAAGCTGAAATAGGGAAAGAAAGCACTTCAATTTACTTTTGAAAATTGCAACTAATCATAATTCATTTTATATACAAATATATAGTTACCTTCAGATTTCCAAGTTCACTAAGAGAGTCAGTGAAACTTTTACTCAGTGGCTTTAGCTCATCATGCTGCAAAGAATGCAGTTTTAATATCATACGAACGGAGGTGCAAAACCTAGAAGAAATAATGAACAAAAAACTTACCGGAAATGCATGTATCATGTAGTTGTCGTATGCATGATAAAACCTGAAAGCAGGGAAATAGCTTTACTGTAAGAACCCTTCAAGTACTTCCACAAACAAACATAGACGTTGTACTAAAGAGATCCTCATACAGCTATCTACTCTTTTCTTATACAATTTGTTTAGTTCCCTCACACGTAGGCAAATTCTCCCAAAGACCAGATTATATTTTACAGGGGTTTCCGGGTGGCCGGTGCAAAACGATTCCGCAAGTCATAAAATGTGATTTCTTTACTTCAAAAAGTGCAAAAAAAAATGCGAAAGTCATACTAAACCAATTAATAGTCTTAGGGTTGTTCTGTTTCATTTTCTTAAGAAAATTGCCTTTAGCCCATATCGTCGAAACCGTAACAACTGGAAATGTCTAGTTCCCCAAAGCCCCATACTTCAAGATCTCAAATTTACATTTCCATCAGTATTTGATTTACCAATTCCATCCAAGCATGCCATTCCACTTTGACAAATATCCATATTTTTTCAAAATTAATACAAAAATAAACTCTTTCTACAATCTCATCACCTAAAACCAAAACTCCTACATTTTTTTCGAACTAAAACACAAAATTTACAAACAGAATCAACCAAAACAAACCCAAATCAGCAAAACCACAAAGTCCAGCAAAAAACCCCTGATTGGGGAGCAAAATGACGGATACCCATTAAGCTAAATTTTCAAATATTGAAGAAAAACGGAAACTTCAGCTGAGAAACCGAGCGGGTGGAGGTGAAATTCGAGTTTACTTACATCTTACGGACTTTATCTCTGAGGCGTCGCTTCTTAGCTGCCCAACGGGGATCGGACGGCGATGCGGAGGTCGATAAGTTTATGAGGGTGGGAGAGATCAGAAAGAAGAGAAGAACCCATGTCGCGCATTTGCGCGGCAACATGGCTATTGGGTCAATTGGATTGGGATTCGTATCAGAGATGGACAGAGAAGAATCAGAGGACTGAGGAAGGCGGGTTATTCTGCGATTTGCCAATTAGCTTGTCTGGTTGGTACTGCAGGCGCCAGGTAATTGTAAGAAAAATAAAATTAACTAAAGAGCATGTTATAATTTAAATTAAATTATATTAGAAGGAATTAGATGATTGGTGGATGTTGATGTACGTGTGCAAATGGGATTAGATGATTGGTCAACACAGTGTCATCCTTGTATTTTCTATGATTTGAGTTTTTATTTTCTTTTGTTGATATTGATAAGGATGCACTATAAAATATTAAAATGTGAATGTGATCAAGATTGAGTTTGGACTCTATTTGGACCACTAATTCAAACCGAACACCCTTTCACTTATTTTTGGGTCACCAGATAGTTATTGCGCTAGTTATGTTAATTCTAAATTAGATGGCGTTATTCGCACATTGATTTTTATTTCTCTTTATTCTCTTAATTCTGGACTGTTAAACTGAATGAATTGACAAAAATTAATAAGAGTATATGAAAGGTAAAAATAGATACGTAAATAACCTACACTTCTGAGTCCAAGTCCAAAATAAATAACTATTATTAACTAGTTATTAGTTTAGTTATAATTTTGTTCTCGATAATTGAAAAAAAGTACCACTAAAAACTTTTTTTTTTGTTAACCCTATGTCCAAAACCAATGGGACAAGGTTCCCTTAATATATTCATTTTTGTGATTTGGCTCAATCAAAAGATGAGACGTTTATTTTGTTTACAGAAGTTCAAGAAAAATTAAATAACAGTGCATTAAACAATAAAACATGTGTTCCTTCTTTCATTATTTAAAAAGAAATTCAATTATCAACTGTCATATCATACAATCTATAAATTATAATTAAAGTAGAGAGTTTTTATTATATTGTTCATTAATTAAACTGTAGGGCAGTTGGAAGTTGAATTTCCATTTCTGTTATACCGATACAATCTTGACAACAATCAATTGGAAGCTGCATGCATGACTCTACGATCAATTGCATGGCTGTTCTCTCAGGTCCAACGCACTCCTCGCTCAAACAAAGACACCAAAACTATATGCAATGCAAAAATAGCAGACCAAAAACCACAAATGCACACTTAAATCCACGAAAATTCCATGCAGAAATAGTACCAATACATCAAATCCCCTAAAACTACTCCCATCCACATATCAAACACTCACTCCACCTTCTTCCCCTGTCGTCTGTTTTTCTCAAACCTATTACTTAATTTGCCTTCTCTTTCCAACTTCCATTGAGGAAAGATCTCAGGGGAAGAAGCAGGTCTCACCCTAAGCCCTGATCTTCCTCTAGCTACCATCATCATCATCATCATCATCATCATCATCATCTGTCTCTCTTTCCAATAACATGGCTATTGCCATACTTCTTCTTCTCTTCTTCTCCATTCCCTTCTCCGAATCGAAGCTCACCAAAGATTACTACAAGCAAACTTGTCCAGACTTTCAGAAGATTGTCAGAGACACCGCGTCCCAAAAGCAAGCCGCCCAACCCACCACCGCCGCAGGCACTCTCCGCCTCTTCGTCCACGACTGCTTAGCTGAGGGTTGTGACGGCTCCGTCCTCATTGCCTCCAACCATCTCAACAAGGCTGAGCGCGATGCTGAGATCAACGAATCCCTAGCAGGTGATGGTTTTGAGGTGGTAGTCCGTGCCAAGACCGCCCTGGAGCTCACCTGCCCAGGGATTGTCTCGTGCGCAGACATTCTCGCCGAGGCCACACGTGACCTTGTCACGATGGTTGGTGGACCTTTCTACTCCGTCCGGTTGGGACGAAAAGATGGACAGGTTTCCCTTGCGTCCAAGGTTGAGGGAAACTTGCCAAGAGCAAACCAAACCGTGGATGAGCTCATCAAATTCTTCGCCGCTAGGGGTTTCACAATTGAAGAAATGGTTGCCTTAACTGGTGGACACACAATTGGATTCTCTCATTGCAAGGAGTTCACTGACAGGCTTTTCCATTACAGCAAAACTACTCCAACAGACCCAGAAATCAACCCTAAATACGCCGAAGCCTTGAAGATGACATGCGGTAACTACACAACTAACCCCGCCATGGCTGCCTTCAACGACGTGATTACACCTGGAAAATTCGATAACATGTACTATCAGAATCTAAAGAGGGGCTTGGGGCTGCTGGCATCGGACCATGCACTTGCTAAGGACCCGAGGACGAAGCCTTTTGTGGAGTTGTACTCTACTGACCAGGCGGAGTTTTTCAAGGCTTTTTCTCATGCAATGGAGAAGCTTGGACATCATGAGATTAAGACCGGGCATCAGGGAGAGGTGAGGCGCAGGTGCGACGCGTTTAACTCGCTTCAGGCTTAGATTATAATGAAGGATGAGAGATGAAGAAGCAGAAGATGATGATGATGATGATGATGAAATGAGAAGAGATGATTGTTATTATTGGTTTTCATTTGGCCATGGATTAATTCATCGCTAGGGAAAAAAGAGAGAGAGTTTTTACAAATCTTTCTGTTTTTATTTTATTTTTCGCTCTTTTCTTATTTGGTTCGATATGTGACATGATGATGATGGTACATAAGTTCAAGATTATATGATATTTGAGTATTTATACATTACAGTGTGATTTTTGAGATAGCTTTCGAGGAGTTGTGATGATTTTTTATTTGTTTTTAAAGACAATAGTATTTACACTAAAAGGGTAAGGAAGTGTGTTAAGCCTTACAATAAGTTTGTTATAATAAGAGGTCTTTAATTTTAAGGGAATGGATCCCCATTTTTTTTTTATTATAAAAATATGGCTTAGTTGTGGAGTTCACACCACATCCAACTTTAACGATCCGAACAGTCTATTTTTCAAATTGCACCTCATAGATCATCCTTGCAAAATATTAGGCAAATCGATAATATTTGAGGCATCTAATTGAGTTCAAATAAATTGCCAAACACTTTGTTCTAAGAAAACATTTAATTTCATCATGATAATTAAATGGGCAAATGATTTCGAATTGAATTGAATTTTTTTAAGGGTGATCTATGAATCGAGACTTAAAAAACAAATGTGCGGATCATTGAAGTTCGATGTGGAGCGAGTCCCAAAATTAATCCCCATTTTTTAATAAAATGGGGACCCCTTCAATTAAAGGTTGTGTAGTACTAGAATCCAGATCTCTCATATTAATCGCACTGTTCTAAAAATCTCCGCCTAGCGCCGCCTAGGCGCTAGTCGGTTGACCACCGCCCCGATTAATGCCTAGGCGTTTGAAAATTAAGAAATGACGCTTAGACCCACTAAGGCACCCGCCTAGACCGCCTAGCCCACCGATACCCGCCTAGGTTGCGACTCACTTAGATAGAAAATAAATAACTTTCATTTTGCATTTTATTTTTTTTTTCAAAAAATTGTAATAGACTTGTTGAATGCTTAAACAAACAGACATTATATATTTGTTCCCCATGTTTTCATTATGTTCAAATACTTTATAATATATATGTTATTCTATTTTGTAGTTTATGATGCAATTATATATATCTTAAGCATAAAGAGATGCTTATTTACATGAAATATAATAGATTTACTTAAATCCGTTTAGTCCGCCTAAGCACTAGGCCCCAACCCACCGCCCAACTAGCGCCTAATGTCTTTTAAAACCTTGATTAATCGACAGTAATTTCACCTCAAACGTTAATAATTGTTCGTTAGGGTCAAATAATTATCAGGAAAACGCCTTTGAGATCAAATCTACAGACAGGCATGCAGGGAAACATCAAAAGATTTTCGGTTTAAATACCAAATAATGAATTTTCCATGCATCCCTCAGAAATAACAATTTTTCTTTTGTAAGAATCTTAAGGAATATAAAACAGCTTGATATGTGTACTTACAGAAACCCAATACGCCTGTGCAACCTCAAACACCTGCATATTAAAGATTTGGGCTTCAAAAGAATCGCATCTATTTATGCATGGTGATATGTACAGTGGTGTCCAGCGCCGGAAAGTCATCTTGCTGAAGTCGGAACATCAAAACACAAGACACATAGCTGGCTAGCTATCACCCATTTCACAAGTCTTGCTTGCCATTGCTATGTGTGAGCTTTTGATTTCCAAGGGAAAATGGAAACTTTGGGGAACAAAAGTTGGATGGGATTGCGGGAAGCATTTTAGGGTTTGAATAAAACTGAATCTAATTGATTGTAAGGCTATAAAAGGCGAGCTATTGTCAGCTAAACCGAGTAGTCGTTCTAACTGATAAGTTGCTTAATTTTCAGCAATCGATGCTTCCATTCGGTTAAGAACTGTCGAACTCAAAGTTGTTACTTGTTAGTCAGTTTTACACAGCTCATAGAACTGTTCTACTATTACGTATAAATTTCCAGCCTTATTTGTAGTTCTCCATTCATTCACCAAAACAAAACAAGTTTCTATCAAAGTTCTTCAAAATTGTTTTACTTTTCTCCTAGCCATGTTTGATTTTCTTTAACATTATTAACAACACACCAAATCATTTCTCTCTCTAGCTACCTATGTCTCAATCCATGACTCTTCCAATCCTTTTCCTTCTCTTCCTCGCCATTCCATTATCCGAATCTAAGCTCTCCATCGACTACTACAAAAAAACATGCCCTGACTTCGAAAGCATTGTCCGTGACACTGTGACTTCAAAACAAATCGCCAGTCCCACCACCGCGGCAGGCACTCTTCGTCTCTTCTTCCACGACTGCATGGTCGAAGGCTGCGACGCTTCCATCCTCATCTCCTCCAACTACGTTAACACAGCAGAGCGTGATGCCGACATCAACCAATCCCTCTCGGCAGACGCCTTTGACCTCGTGGCAAGAGCCAAGACCGCCCTCGAGCTATCCTGCCCAGGCATTGTTTCTTGCTCCGACATCCTCACCTTAGCCACACGCAACCTGGTCACGATGGTCGGCGGTCCGTTCTACAAAGTCCGATTGGGACGGAAAGACGGACAGGTTTCCAAAGCTTCACTAGTGGAAGGAAATCTCCCAAGAAGCAACCAAACCCTAGATGACATGATCAAATTCTTCGGTACAAAGAGCTTCACACTCCAAGAAATGGTGGCTTTGTCCGGTGCACACACAATTGGATTCGCTCATTGCAAAGAATTCGCCGACCGGATTTTCAATTACAACAAAACTACACCAACAGATCCTGACATGTACCCAAACTATGCTCAAGGGCTGAAGAAAATTTGTGCAGACTACAAAACGAACATTGCCATGTCTGCCTTCAACGATGTGATCACACCCGGCAAGTTCGATAACATGTATTATCAGAATCTGAAGAGGGGTTTGGGGTTGTTGGCATCGGACCATGTACTTGTTAAGGACCCGAGGACGAGGCCTTTTGTGGAGTTGTACTCGACGGACCAGGGTGCTTTTTTCAAGGCTTTTGCTCATGCTATGGAGAAGCTTAGCCATCATGGAGTTAAGACTGGACGTAAAGGAGAGGTCAGGCACAGGTGTGATGCTTTTAACTCGATTAAAGCTTAATTAATTAGATGATGTTGAAGAAGAAGATTATCGCCAAGGGTTGTCAATGGCCATGAATTGAATTCGGCAGAGAATTAAAGAGACGGATTTTCTTGTGATTCAATTGTCATATTATATAAATTTTTATGTATTATGGTGATGATAGCAAAATTACAAATCATTTACGGAATGAAATGTAACCGCAACAACTGAATCTCTCACTAGAATATTGATATGATGCCTTACAAGATCCCCAAAAACAGAACATGAAGATTGTTGGTACCATATTATATTGAGCCTCGTTATTTAGGCTTCCAGACATTGAGCCCATGATTCATGTAAAAGAGGAGGAGCCCTTAGTCTATAAAAGGTCTCCTCACCCTCACAATCCTCAAGGTCTCATCCTCACATACAAAGCCACAAGGCTCACAAACAGAGAAACTCTCTCAAACTCTTTTTTCTCTGGGTACTCCCCCTCACACTTGTAATCCATACATACAGTTACAGAGAAATATGATTAACATCAGTGTGGACGTAGCCCAAACATTAGGATGAACCACGATACATCTTGTGTTCTTTACTTTCTTGCAAATTCACGGTCGGATTTACGTTGTTCCAAGACTCCTCCGATTTTGATGAACATGATCCGCAGATTTGCAGACCGGCAGATACACGAACCCCAACCCTTGTTACAGTTACATATATTCACTATTACAATTCAACAGTTACGGTCTACTTGATCACCGGAACCTTACGATCCAGGTGATCACCAGAACCAGGAAATCGACAATTGTCTTCAATAGAACAAGTTTCGGAAGAAAGAGTGCTTGGAGTGGTATAGCATTCAGGGAGTCGGAAAAGAAATTACCCCGCCCAACACTTGAAAAAATTTTCCCCATTAATTACAAACCTTGGTCAACATTTATACCCGACCTGGGCGCTTCCTCATTACGAACACCATTGATGGAGGCAGAGAGGGAGGCATACGCCGTACGCGGCACTTGCTGAGGGTGCTCTATGGTTAAAATTTGGGCGGCCTTGCCGGAAACGTCTCGTGCAAGAGTCAATTTTTAAGCCTTTCGCCCCTTTCAGGTTGGTGGGAGAATCAGAAATTTCCAGCTTCGCAAACCCATTCACATTTTTCGGAGATTAAACTCGGAGTTTATAACCTTTTGACCCGATTGAACTCGGAGTTTAAGCTAACTTTTGGGAAATTGAGCGGACTTTAAAGCTTCTGTTCAACTTTCAAAAACTTCAAATATTTTTCTACAAGTTGAATCATCATAACTAATCAGAATAGACGATTGTTTGGGATAAAATCTGAACTTTGGGCCAGAGAGAAAGTCGGCCCAAACCCAAGGCCCAGAGGAAAACTTAGGAGGCAGGAAAGAGGCTTTCGGCTGGGCACAAATTACAAAGGCCACCTGCTTACCTGCTCAAAGACCACAGGGGGTAGGTTATTCAATCACTGCACAGCCCAATAAAGTACTTTATTGGTGGCATTCATGTAAAAAAGCTAGTGAGTCATCACCAAACCGCATTCGGGCAACCGCCATTGCTACAGGAACCCAAGCTGAATCCGTCTATAAAATGAGGAAGAGAAGACAGAATTAAGGACACTCAATCAAACAAACAAAAGCCAAAACTCTGCTCAAGCCAGATTTGCCTTCAACAAAGCTGTAGTCAGCACAAGCCTTCATCCCGTTCGGGATAAACCTTCCCAAACCCCTGTAATAGCTCTGCTACCTTGTTCTTGTGGGTATCGATTCATTTTGTATCCTCTTCTCCCCATCAACCCCTTCTGAAAGCTTTCAGACCTCTGATAGAGCCACAAAGATAGATTTTGTAAGAAGTTCAGCCTTGGCCGATAAGGTTCAAACTTGCCCGACTATCTTTGCTCTATCTTTGTCTTTTCTTTCTTTTAAAAGCACAATAACATGTTATATATTCTCAGTTATATACAAGTTATTTCTGGCAAAGTCACAATGAAAATGAGTCTTCAGCACTTGAATCCGATCTGAATCACGTCAGAGTTTAGATCAGATCTGAGGCTTAAGCCCGCGGGCATGTAATTTAAAGATCAGTTTAAAAGTCCTTGGCCTCAAGGCATAAAAAAGAACTCTATGTGGACTCAACCCATCCACGACGATCCTTGATAAGCGAGAAGTCTGAAGTTACTTGGGGCGCAAGTAATCAATCTATTTCTCCGTTTTGTTGCTATTATATCTTGATTCGTAAAAAAGGCTTAAGCATAGAGTGAATTCTGATAGAAAGCCTCAAGGTCTACACCTAAGGCCCCACGAAGGCATCTATTTAGCTTCATTTTATGTTGCGGTCTAGTTGGTCCGAGTATAAGGATTAACTCTGATGGGAAGCCTCAAGGCCTATACCTAATGCCCTACAAAGGCACTCATTTGGGTTCGTCCTACCTCTTGGATTCAGATAATCAAAGGTATAATAGTGATAAAACTCTGGCAACCATAAAAGGCAAAATATGATACATCCAAGCGCTGGTTTAGTTTGACAGGAAGCCTCAAGGCCTACACCTAAGGCCTCATAAAGGCACCTGTTATATCTAACTCGGTTTCTCGGGCGTATACATATTCAACCAAAGCTTAAACACCCATTCAACATCTGCCATACTGAAGATGGCAGTGGCACGCCTGAGCACGATAAAGTTAATCTTGATTGTGAGCCTCAAGGCCTACATCTAAGGCCCCACAAAGGCACCCTTTCAAATTAACTCTGTCCTTCTCTTTCAGAACTGCCCGACGAGCCTTGCCCGAAGTGTGTCTTGCCCGACCAAGATCTGCCCGACGAAGGCCTTCCCGAGCAAGCCCGAGAAGAAAGCAGGAGTACGACAGATACCCTCAACCGACGCCATTCTCCCAGGGGAGCTGTGTGCTCGACCGCCAGGAGATTTCTGCGACGAACAACGATCCTCTTGGTTATTAAGTCATACAGTTTTTCAGGTTCCTGAAAGTAATTACTACCCGTTTTCACAATTTGATTTTCTTTTCGTACGACTGCATTTTCCCGGTAACCAAACAGATGGTAAAGACAAATGGGTGTGAGAGAAGGAGGTAGAAGATAGATACTTCTCGAGTCTTGGCTTTATCCGAGGAGAACTTGGAGACAATCTCCAGGACTTCTCTGGAAGTCACCATCGGAGGCCGCCGAAGCTCCGATGACAACCCGGCAGTCTGAATATGAGAGACTGGAGCTAGAGTTTCGTTTCCCGGTGAGAATTTGGGCAGTTTATAACGGAGAAAATGGCGGGAAGACGGTTGGTTGGGAAAGTGGAAAGTTGGAGATGTTTGGTGAAGGGTTTACGACAGGAAAGGTTTATATTTGCGGGAATACGTCCAACCAAGAAAAGGGAAAGACGATGCAGGAAAATAATTTCTGTTCTTCTCTTCTTATTGTTTGGGACCCCACCCCAGTCCATTTGTATGGGAAATTTTTTATTGTGACTGAAATTGGTGATATATTATGTGTTTTTAATATGTACGTAGAACGAAATTTTATTTTTTAAGTTATTAACTTTTTAATACATATATCACATCATTTATATAGTGACACGGGATCACACTGAAAAATCTCTTCATTTGTACACGACAGTAGTTCTAAACATGTGAATTGTAAAGTTTTTAGAGGGAAATTGGAACACAAAATCTCGAGTGCATGAGCGAATGCTATAACCGAGTTACAAGCCACTTGTCATTTGGATTGTAACTATTTCATAAGGAAATGATAAACACACATTTTTTTTAGCTTCTTACACATCATTATTTAATCTTATCTGTTGTTTTTGTATGATACATTCAATTTGATGGTTAGAAATAAGTGAATTTTAACGAAAAACTCCTGGTACTATTCACTTTAACGAAAAACCACATTTTAATACTAAAAAGTCAATCTTGGTACTATTTACTTTACTCTTTGTTTTGTCTTTATCGTTAAAATTCAAAGTTTTAAAACCCTTTTCATTAGTTTTTTTTAGAAATAAAGAGATGTGTAAGAGAAATTAATTAAGATGTGTAAAATTCAAATCCTTAATTCGTAACCTATGGGATAGATGCAATGATTGAAATTCACTATTACATTCAGAAAATGAAACTCATACTCAGAATGATTGATCCTTGGACCGGTTACGAGTCAATCAAAGCGTAAGTGTACACGGAGTAGGATTTTCTTCTTTTTCTTTTTGTTCTCTCATTTTTTTTTATTTGAACGATCACGGTTAAATCACGTTAACATTTTATATTAATTTTTTATAGTAAAAGAAAGACAAAATAAAAGAATGTGAGAGTAAGGAATGAAAAGATGAGGAGAGAAAATCTTAATCCGTGTATGACATGATTAATATTGTAACACGTATTATAATATGTGTGAAATTATAACATCACCTGCAGTTACATTGAAAACTTTAATGTTTGTTTTTACTTTTTACAATTCATGCCCTCCTTGGAAGAGGCTCCTCGATCAATCATTCATGCAACATAATAACATATGTATCCTATTTTATCGTTGTATTACGAATCACTAGTCACGGATCTAGAAATTTTTCTGAAAAATATCACATATAAAATGTTCACAAATATTCTGTAGACAAATAATCCCCTACGTACTCAGTAGGATATTCAAATATTCATGACAAAATTTAAATGGTTGGTTTGATGTAGTGAGCATTCATCTTTGTATAGTTGCAATTTTATCGGATGTTTTAAATGGAGGATACATTAAGACCTACTTCAATCCTTGGAGTAAAACTTAAATTTTAGGTTCTAAATTTACCCTAACTTGCTCAAACCCTTAGGCCAAATATGAGTTTTAACCTAAAACTCATTTTTGGAGCAAATTTAACCCAGAATTCCTCCAGGGTTAGTGGGTTGGCCCACCATATATGTGTATCTTTTTTTAGTTTTATATTTATAAATTATTTGAATTCAACGGTTACGATCTAATATGATCAAATCTAACGGTAATGAAAAAGATCTAACGGTTCAAATTTAAATCCA